CATATATGTGTTCTTGATGATCTTAATGCAATATCAAGATTCTGCCATGATTGTTGTGATGAAATGAAGAATTGATCAGTGATTACGGACACACAGTCTTCTTATTGATTTGAGGACAGTTCGCAAATAATATTTCAACTCTGAAACTTTAACAAAGTTTCTGGAATGTTTACCAGAATCCTAGGATACATATTCTATGTGTCTCAATATGTCCAGCGATATGTCCTCCCTCTCTCTAAGCTCTCTATATGAGATACTACTCAATCACGAGCAGTCTCGACAACTAAAGAGGAATCTAATCAAGGATTCTAGAGACATGAAAATCTCTTCGCTAGCTTTGATCTCTGAAGATTCTTCAGTTGAACTCCCATCTTTTTCTTCTATTCTTCTGTCTTCTGTTTCTATAACGGAGTTAGATTCCACTAACTCTGAGGATTTGTCAGAGTCTGATCTCACAGACTTTGATGAATCACTGGCTCTTATAACTAAGTCTTTTAGAATATTTTCTAGAAAAAGTAACTTCCGCAGATCTCCCACGCTAACCATTAAGGAAAATCCAAAATCAGATACTATCGACAAAGCTTCAGCGGTTTGCTACAACTGTCAACGTAAAGGTCACTTTGCGAGTGAATGCAGGTCAAAGAAGACTGCAACGCCATCTTCAAAAACCCTATCCTCCTTCAGAGCCAAAGACGATAAATATCTGAAGCTGAAGGAGAAGTACAAGAAGATGAAGAGTTCTCAGCAAAAAGGAAAAGGCCTTGTCACTGAAGAACATGATTGGGCTGATTTGTCTGACGAATCATCCTTAGATGAGGAAGATACGACCTACCTTTGCATAATGGCCAAGGATGTCAAGGAATAAACTTATGAGACATCAACCCCCAGTGATCCCTCATTATCCTCTCTTGCTCAGGTATGTTTCCTGAATGAACCCTCTTCTTCTTCTTCTTCTTCTTCTTCTTCCTCTTCTTCTAGCCTATTAGCGTTAGATACTTTGATGGTTGACCTTTACAATGCCCTAAATGGCAAATCAAAAGCAAAAATGCTTAATCTTCAAAAACAGTTAAAGATTTGTCATTCTATGATCAAAGAGTTGATTAAGATCGAAGAAGATCTTAAAGATCAGGTCATTGTAAACCAGACCATCACTATTGAACGCGAACAGGCTATTGCTGAACCCAAGGCTGAAATGGCTACCATTGAAGGATGGTGCAAAGCCTCTGAGATCATTAACGCTCAGATTTCTGCCAAGATTAAGACTGATCTAGGCTTCTCCTATGATCAGGAAGATAATGTCACTGACAGGTCTATGCTCAAGTTTGGTACCTTCATCTCATCTATTCCTGACACCTCTTCCTCTTAGTCTTCTTTTACTGAGAGTCATCTTGAAGGAACTCCTTTGAGTTCAGGTCCAAAGACAAAGTTAAGTCCATTGTTAAAGCACCTCTTCCTAAGAAGGATGACAAGTCACATAGATCAAGATCTATTCCTTCAGCTTGTGCACCTTCTTCTTCTTTAGGGATCAAAATATCTGAATCTTCTCAGAAATCTAAGTCTAAGCTCAAGGTGAATGTTTCACCTAAAGACTCCAAATCCTTAGCTGTTCCTCCTAGAACAAATGAGAAGTGTAGACACTATGGCGAAATTACACATCTTTCCAGCAAGTGTCTTTCTGCCGCCAAGGCTGGTCCTCCTGTCAAGGGTAAGAAAGTAGCCAAGGCTGAGAAATCTACCAACACGAAATCCGCCACTATGGTTGTAAAAACAACTAAGGTGAAGAAATCCACTAAAGCCTCCTCTTCAGGCTCAGTGAAGACAACTAGTGACTCTGTGTCTTCAACATCAGGTGTTGTTGTTCTTCTTATCACTGAAGCCTCTTCGTCAGGCTTAGTGAAGACATCTACTAACTCTGTTGTTTCTAATCCCACTGAAGCCTCTTCTTTAGGTTCAGTGAAGCCTTCTGCTGACACTAATTCTTCAATTTCAGTGGATGTTGCCTCTAAGCATTTTTAAATTGTTCCCTTGTACAGAAAGTCAAAGGCATTTGGTATCTCGATAGTAGATGCTCAAGACATATGACTGGCGATAAATCTATGCTCATCAATTACAAGGATGAAAAAGGCCCTTCCGTGACCTTTGGAGGAAATAGAGAAGGATATACCAAATATTTTGGTGTATTAACCAATATGCAACCACTTTCAAGCGGGTTGCATATATTGAAGGATTGAAGCACTGTGAAATTTTGTAAGAATTCATGCTACGTCTTTGACAAGGATGATAAGGTTGCTCTAACCGGTTCTCGTCTAGAGAATGTTTACGTCATCAACATGGATTCTCTCGTACTGAGAATAACTGTTTTCTCTCTAAAGCCTCGTCAGATATCAACTGGCTGTGGCACAAATGACTTTCTCATCTCAACTTCAAGACACTCAGTGAGTTGTCTAGAAATGATCTCGTCACTTGTGTTCCTCAACACACCTTTACAAAGGAATCTCTTTACTCAACATGTGAAAAAGGAAAATAGACAAGAGCTAGCTTCAAGTCTAATAAAATCTCTTCAGTGACATCTCCACTTCAGGTATTGCACATGGATCTCTTTGGTCCAGTTAACGTACAATCCATTGCTGGAGAGAAATATACACTCGTCATTGTTGATGAGTACTCCAGGTACACTTGGGTCTTCTTTCTCAAAACCAAAAGTGAATCACCTGAAGAAATAATATCGAAAGTGATCATGGAACTGAATTAAAAAACAGTACTATGGATAACTTCTTTGAGGACAAGGGAATCTCTCACAACTTCTCCTCTGTGAGAAATCCTCAACAAAATGAGGTCGCTGAAAGGAGAAATCGAACAATCATTGAGGCTGCTCGATCAATGCTTAGTGAATCTCATCTTCCCACTCAGTTATGGGCTGAAGCTGTCAATACAACTTGTTTCACTCAAAACCGTCGCTAATTGTTAAGAGGTTCAAGAAGACATATTACAAACTTTTCCATAGCAGAAAGCCATCTCTTAGCTTTCTACACATCTTTGGTTACATGCGTTTTATTCTCAACAACCGTGATCAACTTGGAAAGTTCGATCCCAAAGCTGATGAAGGAATCTTTCTTGGATATTCTTCAGTATCCAAAGCCTTCAAAGTATTCAACAAACGCCGACAGACAATATAAGAAACTATTCATGTCACCTTTGACGATTCTCAATCAACTAATTCTAAACCCATCATTAATGATGATGAAGAATTAGAAAACTGGATGTTCTCACATGTTGGACAACCTGAAGCTTCCTTCAGCAATCAACCCAACGCTGATACTCTAGAAGGTGATGATGATCCACTTATCATTCTAGTTGCAGCTAATAACCGAAGCGAATCTTCTTCAGAGATC